ACAGGTATCTGTTTTCATTGTTTCTCAGCACAACTATACCCTTTAAAATGTTTGACCCAGGATCTATCAGAAAAATTAAATAATCTAGTCCCAATCACAACGTAGTCTCTCTTGCAAATAGTCACCTTCCTTGTGGAGATGCATGTGATAACTTCTCAGGCTAATTTCAAGTTCATCACCATCCAGGAAACACCACCTCTGTTATTCTCCTTTTCTATTACAGCCTACACCAAAATTGCTTGCATGACTTTTACTTCTCAGATATGGCACTAAGGTCTACCACAGATTCCCTTGTGCTGAGCAAAGCACAGCCTTTCTAAAAATCAGTCTCCAGACTGCTCATGCTTCTGCAGTGACTTTCAAACAGAAGTGACAGTCATAATCCACCACAAAATGAAATCTCACAGGATAGATATAACTACTGCTGCCCAGGCAGGTACACATTGTACCAAGCCCTCACAGAATGCAGGACTGCTGGACCTAGTCTTACATCTTTTTATGACAGAAGCCGAAACACTTTGGCAAGACATAGGTCTGACTCTTACGATTTACAGGCACCACAGCATCCTTCAAAGCCTGAGGATGCAGACAGCAGGGAGCGTCTCTGAAAAATGGAATGAAAAGCAAGTCACTGTACATGACTCTACACTTGTACAGCAACAATGCCGGGACTGAGAGAGACAGGATTGCCTCATTATCCGGGTGTGGAGGGCCAGAACTGAGTCTCCAGCTTCCACATGAAGGCAAGTGCTCCCTGAACATCTGCAACACTCTCGTGTCAGCTCTCTGACATCTTTGCAAAGTTCTGAGAAGTAGGTGGCCATTACAGTCTGGAAACTATGCACGCCTAGGGGCTATTGACTGTGGCAAGGCAATTTAGTTTTGCCATGGGTGATGTCTGAGATGACAGCACTTCCCTTGGTCTTCAACTGCAGTGTGATTTCCCACATTCCCAGACAGCAGTACAGCTACTAATGACGTGCATATGGATTTCTTCTTCAACATGAGGAAATGTCTAACCACCCCATGATCTCATTTGCCCTGTTGGCCTTGTGCAGGCCAACTGATTCCCACTCAGAGGACAGGAATTAGTGTGAAGAGAAGGGGTGAATAATGCTGTGCTTTATTGTTCAAGCTCTATAAATTCTGCCTTTCAATCAGGCCACTGTTTGGATTAATTCTTTGCACTTTATGTGCATTCCTATGCCAAATTACATGTGTTTTGTTTGCAATGGACTTTTACATGTGGATTAAAAGATTTTCACTCTTGATTACTGTGACTCAGTTTAGTTCCTGAAGTATTTCCTGAGCTTTTCGCTCCCTTTCTGGCCACTTCAGGGTAATGCAGCATCTCTTCATGGACTACATGTTTCACTTCCTGCACTACTCCAAGATTTAGTGGAAATGCTACAGTTTCCTTCTTCCATATAAACTGGGCTTTAAACACACAGTTAATGGGGTCAATAGGCAAAGGACTCTACTGAATGTGCAACAGGAAAAAGATAACAAAGACTGCCTGGACTGCAAACAAGAGAGATTCTTTGAAGCCAGGATACTCTAGCCAAGATTTAATAAAACAATAAAAAGAAAACCTAACTGAACCAAGAACAATGGGCAGCATCACAAACTAATGGTTCTGACCTGCCAAAAACACTGAAGAACAAAGAAAATGAAATATAAAGCTCCTCAAAACAAACAGGAGCAAAGTCCCACACAAAGCTATACACAAAGTGCAAGGCACATTAGGGCCAACCCCAAACATGTGTGGGAAAGTACAGGCTGTGTTTATTACGGTGTCTCCAGCATGCATTTTTACCCTCTTCTCATCTTTTGATGCATGGGGGGCAGTACAGGGTAGGTCAGCCTGATTTTTCCCTGAGTTAATGAGGAGCCTCCTGCAGGGCATGGGAAAAGTTAGGGAAGCACAGCCTAGCGTGCTCCTGGTGACCGATCTCAAGCTGGAGAAAGCACAAAGATCGAAGGTTGCAGTTGTTCTGCACTTGGTGGCGATACGTATGCCAAAGATCATCCAGGCTCCGGAGTCTCCAAGTGCTAGTGTCGGCGCTGCTGCGAACAGCTGCCCAGAACATCAGCGGGGAAAGTGTTTAGACCAGGCCACCCCACAAGTCTCCAGGGTGTTAGCAGTCATTTTCTCAGACTGTCCAGTTGGCTCCGTTGCCAGTCTATAACAGTGGAAGATTAAACAGCCAGGCTGAGGGAGAAAAAAAAAAAAAGCCTGAAGCATTAGCAAACTTTGTGGCTGGCACCCACTGTGGACTGCTTGACTGTTTCCTTATCAGCACTGAGTCCTGGTTCCATGGACATTCTGGCCAAAGCCCAGAATCCTCCACCCTGGTAAAGAGCACTGCAGCAGGTAATGCTCCTCACGCTGAGGCTGATCTAATTAATTCCTATGAACACCTCAGGCTAAAAAGCAGGGTGTCAGCATTTGCAATGGTGGGTGTAATTGACTAACATGACTCAACAAAATAAAAGCAAATTGAGGGATAAGGGGAAAAAATAGTAGCTTCAGTAAACAGTGGGTTTAGTAGTGCCTCAGAGCTCCCAAGTAGCAGGGAGAGAAAGAAAGGGTATCAAGATCAGCAAACTGAGGATGTCTGCTCTCCTCCTTGTGGCTCTCAGGGCTTGCAGCATACGGCCTTTGATGAAGTCCCACGCACAGAGCAGGGGTAAGCTCTACTCACCCAGGAGAGGCGAACAACCTGAGCAGGCAGGGCAGCATACTCAGTCTCACCCCCAAGAGTCCAGCTGAGCTGGGCATATTGATACTGGGGTAGACACAGCATACAAGGAGGAAGAATGATGTTAAATGACAGGCTTAAGGACAGCCTCCATCATTAGTATATATTGGTGCAGGATGTGAATCTGAGCCGAATCTCTGTGGGGTACTGGAACCAGCTGTCAGAACAAGCCACTATGTAAGTGAATACGCAAGGAAAGCAAGCAGATATCTAAGGGATCATGTAAGCTGGATCAAATACAAGAGGGAGGGCAGGATTATGGCTTGCTCTGACTATGGAAGAACAAATGGGTCTAATTTGCACACACTTGCTGAGATCCCTTTGCCACATGAATCATGAGTAAGTTTTGTCAGTGGGATTTCAGTTGCCAGAGAATCTGTCCTGGTTGTGACATGCCAGGTGGAGCTGTCAGCAGTGACAGGTAGAAGAAAACTCATCTTTTAGTGCCTGAACTTGAGCCAGTTCAATCGGGGAAGTGATTGAGGGTGAATAAATGCAGGACAGCACTATGGTATTTTCACAACCTCTTTTCTGACTGTAATTTCACTATAAGGAAGTTTGTTGGCACCTATTGGAGGAATAAGTGCATAGGGGGGAATATCGCCTTTCTCCTCTTGTGTTGTGCTGAAAAGTAGAATTAAATTATTCTGCTCACAGACAGATTGTTCCAGTAAAATAGAATTTGAAGCCACCAGGGGCTCGTTGAGAAGAGAAGCTTTTACACTATATGAAAAGGCAAGAGACAAAACCCTTGCCAAACTCCTTCACTCTTTATTACCGACAGCTGCAATGCTGGATGCGTCTGGATGCCTTTTAAGTGCCAAGGGGAGTGACGGAGGTGGGATGGCATGTGAGCAGATGAAATACATGGCAGCTCTCCCCCAACGGCAACTTTAATTATTTGCACTGTTGTATACACAAGAAAAAAATATACACATATTGGGAAATCATTCACTCTGATTCCTGTGTCAGGTGGATTATGAAAAACACTCACTCTTGCTGGTCCATGGCAGAACAAGGTTTTAAAATATTCAGAACTTGCATACGCCTTTGTCACAGAAGGGAGGAAAAACAAGGTAGAATGTATTTCCTAAAGAAGGAGGACATGAATGTATCAAGAGAGGAAAAACAGAGGCACTTTGCTATATGAACTGAGATACCCAGCAGAAGCGAACCAAATGAAACTTAAAGCCAAAGAAACATCATCTTCTATATACCTTCATTCTGGAGAACTTTCTAACACATCCTTTCTTGTCCTTTCCGCATTTTAAGATGACTGGAACAGGGAGAATCTGACTCTTTTGTCTATTCAGTGCTCAACAAACAAACAACAAACTGTGCTTTCTTAGGATCAATTTTCCCAAATCCCCCTGCTCCAGGATCCAGGAGCTTATGTGACATTTCAGGGTGACCATTCAAGATGTGACATGTTCTGAGTCACTAGCCATGGTTCAAAGTCATAAGTCATAAATAAATCCTCCATCACTAATAATATAATCTGTGAAGCTAGACTAAAGTAAAAAGATGCAGACAAGTCGTCTTTCTGTAAGCTGCAGTTTAACGGGTAAGTACAACTGACTCAGAAATGACATCCATGTGCAGGGTTGCCCGGCAAGCCTTGATATACTTGCTTAAGTAGATGTCTTACGACTATCAATACCTTTTCTGCTTGAATATGGTCCTGGTTCCATTCTACATGAATTTCTCTCTGCTGCTGCTAACTTCAGCGCTCTGATGAACAAGGCCTACACGAGGATCGGTAGGTTTGAAGTGCAGCATGATGAAGACCTGCCAGCTCAAATCCCAGCTGTGCTAGAGAAAGCATGCACCGTATCTTCTGAGCTGCTCAGGGGCAGTCCTGAAGCCTGTTCTTTCTTGGATCTTGCAAATACAATGTTTGTTCATGCAGTAAGCTTCTTCCTCTTTGTGTTTATGTAATGCTGGCTGCCGTACCCTTACAGCATATATACCTAATTATGAAGATTTTAATACATCATGTGAGGCCACACAATGAGGACAGGATATGCCAAGCTTTTCAGAGCACATTTTGTGGCATTTCAAGCAGATAACCACATCTTTCCCTTGCACGCAGGGGCGTTAAATAAGTATATTTTACAGATAAGCAATCAGAGAAAGCGGTTGCTGGGCTACTGACCTACAGCCTTTATTTGAAAACCGGAGTCAGATACACAAAAAAGCTCTGTAAATTGCAAAAGAAAAGAAAACATTACAACTTGCCTCACAGGGGGAGTTCCTCAAAGGAGCTGGAAATGCAGTGCTGGTCATGACAGTGTTTGCTGCTGCTGGTGTTTTGCTGGTGTTAAGGAGGAGTGCACAACCTGGATAAAAGAGCAGGAAGAAGGTCAAACAGCAGCACTCACCTTCTGGTTTCAGGGTTTGTGAAACCTCCCCAGAACCAATGTTAGTTAGCTCCTACTACAGGAATGACAGAGAGCAAAAGACTTTCTCAATTTACTAGGGATGTAGCTTCACCTACCCAACAAACATACTCGGGAAACACATTTAAGGAGTCTGCCTACAGCTATCTTCTGTTGCTCCATGACTTTAGATTCATCCTCCTTGCAAGGCTGAATAACAAAATGCATCTTCTATGAACAAAAAGTAACTTGGAAGTGAATACTTATCTTGGCCAAAACCTAAACAAAATACAGCTATGGCAAAATACCACCAGAGTAATATTAATGCAGCTGGAGGCCTCTTTGCTCCATTAACCATTTGTTGTAACAAGAACAAGGTCAGTAGTAACAGTAGGGTTTTTCCTTGGCATCTTTGCATGAAAAGGTGTGTACTTGCACTATTTCAGCTCTGCCCTCCAGCTCAGGAGGGTACCACTACTTAGAGCCCAGTTATTTCGGCTTTCATTGAAATTGCCTTTACAGCATAGACAAATCATGAATCGGCAGCACTTGCCAGCTCCCCACAGTACCCTCTTCCCAGCTCTGCCTTCATGTTTACCTATGCCTCCATCACTGTGGTCTGTAATACTGTGGGCTAAACCATCAGATGGCTTAAATCAGAACAGCTGCACTGCAGCCTGTACCAGTTCACACAGAAGTAAAAAATCTTACTCTTCATGTTTAATTCTGGATCTAACTTTCTAAAACAATGTTGGGATTATACACCATTAACTCTACTGTTATTATTATATCCCTTTAGATGCTCTGCACCTCAGCAATAAATGCCTCAAATGATTTACAATATTGCATTAGGAAAAAGCCTATCCTGGCAGGCAGCCTGTTTGCCAGAACTCAAAGAGCAGTAGTTCACTGCTCGAAGTATAAACCTTGAATGGTTTGTATGGTAAGGATTAGAAATGAACTATTGGGATTTGGGTAGGGGAACAAAGTACACAGTAATTATACACAGAAGTGGAACTTGAAGGACAGGGGAGCAAAGAGAAGGAAAATTAGAATGTGAGCAGGGGACAAAAGCAGCAGTACAGAGAACTGGAGGAAGTAAATAGGAAAATCAGAAAGAAAAAAACAGATCAGTATGGAGAAGGGTCATGCAGATGAACACATGGCGTGAAGTTGTTTAGAAAGGGTCAAGATTTGTATCTGGTGTCAGTCATGGAGATCCGAGGTACCACTCTGCGCTCTTGAGACAGGAAGAGAGCAGGACAGTCTTTTGCTCAAAGCACTTAGAGTAGAAAGATGGCTTTTGTTTCACTGTAAGTATACAGAAAAACACGCCTTGTGTTTTATTCCCTCTCCTCACCATTTGCGTATCTTTTTTGCTCTCTGCTGTTCACTCTCTGCACTTACTATTTACTTCACACACCTTCTATTGAAGGAAAATGGTTGTGCTCTGGGCTTCCAATTCGCCATGGAGAAGGATGGGATTCAGAGGAGCCCTGCATCCAGCCACAGTCCCCTTCTTCAAACGAACAGTAAAAGCCAGAGGGAAGCTTTTCTGCAAGAGGGAAAAACACACACACATACAGAAGAACCTAGGTGAGCTGCGGAGGAGACTCCTGGGCACACAGAGAAGCTGCAGTGACTATTCTGACCTGGTTTGCCCAGGGCATGTGGGCACCCCCACAGCTACTCAGTCGTTTCATGTGGAGTCATGTGCATGACCTGACCGTGGGGAGGGTGGCAGCAAGGGAAACAACCCCTAGACTGTGAAAAGTGACTTTCCACACACTTTGACAAACCCAAGTGAGAGGACACATTTCAGTGTGCGCTGTGGGGTGTCCTAAATACTTGGCCTCTACAGCTCCACAGGTATAAACCCACACAAGGTTGCATCTTGGAGATGGCTTTCCTAACCACGGCTTCTGCAGCCCCATAGAAGGGAATCTTGGAGAGGGATAAGTTCCTAACATGATTCCTCTGCCTTACAGCCTAGGTCTCTAGTCAGCCCAGCTCAGCAACATGATCTCTCCTCTCTGTCAGCACTGGTGCAGTCTCAGGTAAAGCACTGAATCCTTTTATGCCTCAGGTTTTGCAGCTGTGAATCTGTTTGGTGAGATGAATAGATGAAAAGAGGATATTTTATTTTAAACCATACTTTCAAGCTTCTAATCCCACTCATTCTGTCAGTGGCTTAGAACTTTGGGCAAGTTTCCAGCTCCAAACAATAAAGATACACTAGCTTTTTGCCTTTAAATTAACCAGTTTAAAAGTAATAGTCATCTCATTCAAAGCAGAAGGTAACTTCATACCTTTCATCTCCTCCTCTATCCACATGGCAAGTTCTTCTTTCAAATGGTGCAAAGTACTGCTCTTTCTGCCCTGTAAAATCACCATCACTATAACATGATTTTCACTTTTAGTGAATCACTAATGATCCTTAATACAGATTCTGCACCCAGGGTGCAGCTCACAACTCTGTCAAGTACCAGAAGGCTTCCCAGTAATAAAAGGGCACAAACTGGGATTTATAGGGAAAAAGGTAGAGCGCAAAACTAGCCTGGGTGAAAAAGGTGCCCTTTGAATATAGAGTTACATTAGGCATTAAAGATGCCAGAAAAGAAGTAGAGTGACCAGTCATTTTACCCTCTATATAGGCTAACCAGTCCTTGGGGCTGGCAAAGTCCCTGAACATGCTTGCTCAGTGGGGGTGGTCCTTCTTCCAATAAACCAGAAAAACTGCTGTGATTAACACATGTAGGCATAAAAGGATGATGATATTCCTGACTTCTCACCGTTTTTACACCATTGTGTACTCAAATCTATACTAAAAACCAGTTTAGCCCAGAAAACGTATTTGTTTTCTCCTTCCCTGTTCCCCTAAAGTTCTCCTAAAACTATCTGGTTTTTTGTTGTGGGTTCTCGGTTTTTGTTTGTTTGTTGGTTGTTTTCTTTTGAAAGAAAGGAAAATGATACAAGAAATCTGCAATCTGTTAAAAATTGTAATACAAAAATGACATTTCACACGCAAACACACTATAAAACCCCATACCCAGGAAATCAGTTCTTTCTTTTAACTGCTTGTTAAAACCAGAGTAAAAATTTCTTCACTTACAAAATGTAGGGTAGATTACAAACTCCTAAAGCAAGAGAATCTGCTGGTCAGGTGATACTGGCAATTTCATTAGCTTATGAGAAGAGGAGGCTCCTGAACTAGTCAGATTTTGTTGTAATGATTAAAAATTTTTCCCTCCAAAATATTCTATCTGTAAAGTGGCTGTCAGACACTTAGGCACCAGTATTCAAACTCCAGATCATTCAAATCGTTCAAATACCAGCAGAACTTCCTAGCTGAGACTGCAGGTCAATTAAATACCTGCTCACAGAGTCTCAGCTTTGACTCACACACCTCAAAAGGCAATTCACTGTCAGCGGCACATGCACCTGCTCCTTGGTCTAGCCTGAGAAAACATCTGGGGAACACCCCAACTGCAACATCTAGACTAGAAATATTTAATTTGCTAGGAGCCTGAATCACAACTCACTTCAGAGGAAGCTGAAATAAATCTTTTATCTGTGGCTTTTTAGTAGGGCCAAATTTGAACCTGGAACCTCACATGGAGGTGAGAGCCATGTTTTACTGTTATTTTCCACAAGCACCCAAACCTGTTATGGAAAGATCTAAACCTGTACTGGAGTTAAGGCTTTTTCAAATTTTTCCTTTTAAAAAATCCCCAGCTTCATTCATCCTGTTCTTTAAATGTGAAGTAGTTAAGCAGAGAGTTGCTTCCTCATGTTTTACCCCTCTACAGAACTTGATTATATTTCATTGCGCAGCCTGAGGCTGGGATCCAAAGAAAATGACAAATTATAATGTGTCCTGAATTCCTACTGAAACAGCTTGGCTTGGTGTCCAACTGAATTCATTTCATGGCCATACGCTATGTAGGATGATGTAAACAAGTCAGAGCAGCAGGAGGAGTCATCTAAGTAGCAATTCCTGCCTGGAGGCCAGAAAAAGCTCACTGTTGATGAACAAGTAAGGGCATAAATAAGAAGCTATTACTTTCTCAGAAAAACTCATTCCTCCTCCACAAATTAATTTTTTATGAATTTTCAGATGTCCCATGCACTGGACACATTTTCTCTGCTGCTCTTTCTTACTTTGTCATACAGCACCTACGATTCCATGTATTGCTACTCCACAAAGATGTCTTTGGCCAGCACTTCTCTGTCTATGTGTACTTCTCAGCTTTCTGAATGTTTATAATTCAAACTCACATTAGCACAGACACTGCACTGATGAGGGAACGCTAATCTTACTTTATTGGAAAATCAAGTAAATGAGGAGGCAGGAATCCCTATTGAACCCTGCCATGTTGGATATTATCATTAGTGACAGAAACCTCTAAAGATTTAGACCTTAGTAAGATTAAGATGCAGCTTGTGGATATGGTGGGGAGAACTGAGTGATCCAGTGAGACTGGAGCACTGTGAGAACATGAGTCTCTGCTTTTATTTGAGTGATGAAGTAGAGAAAAGCTGTAGGGTGTTAAACTTGTTCCTAAGCAAATATTTTCAAGCCTTCAGAATGAGCTACCTTTCAAGCAAAATCTAAATAAGTTCACGTTTTTTTTTAAGTCATATTTTTTTCATCATTTAATAGCAAGAAAAATTAGCAACTGGAATAATTTATGAAGCAGATAGAGCAGGCTCTTGATTCAAAACCAGGTGTAAATCAACTGGATACTCCAGTACAAACTCTTGGGTGAACTTCCAGACCCATATTATAGAGGACACAAGCACAAAAAACTACTCTGGTATGTATGGACATTTACCAAATTTAGGACAAACTCTCAGAAGCCAAATAGGTCAGCTACTCAAACGATTCAAAGAAGTACATGAATCTTAAACATGAGTTTGTTTTCAATAGCTGCCTCTATGCTAGCAAAGTTGGGCAGAAATGAAGCAGAAAAAGGGAAAATGCTTTTCAACAGTCAACAAAGAGTTATCCTTTAATGCCAGAAGGATTTGCTGAGTTCAGAACTGCCAGAGGTTAGAATTTGTTGCTAGAAGCACGGCTTTTGATCAAGAAAGAAGCAAAAGGATTAGTGTATGCAAGACAGGAACCTTAAGACGGCACAGCATGGCAACAGGTTGCTACTTCATCATTTTGCTTGCAGGGAGAGTCTGCTGGGCTACTATCACTAGGATATAAATTAATCCAGTGGTTTCTTTATGCATTTTTGCTTGAAAAGTAAACTAGCCCCTGTAGAATTAATTATCTATGCTTTTTTGGTCATGTTATCACAAATTCAAACTTTATAGGTTCCTATTCTAGATGCCATCTGGTCTTTTGATAGATGCGTGCATGCAGTCCTCCAACCACATGGCACAGCCTGAGTCACTCCTTTCATGAATCAGATACTAGTTTTCCTTATCTCACCTGGTAATGTGTTCAACATCCTTAAATATTCCATAAGGCAAAGAGTGAAAATTACTGTACAATCCAGTGGTTACAAGAATTATTTGAGAGACGGAAGACATTACTTTCAATCCTTATTCCAGGTAAAATTCATAAAATGTGGAAGAGCAACCCCAGGAGAGACTTAACTAATCATTTTCTTTTGAAGTAGACCAGAACTCCTGACCACAATCTCGGAAACTCTGCATGGAAATAGGAAATATAGGTTCAAATTCATTTACACTGAAGAAAGAATCAGTCCTTGGTTTGTTATACCCTGAATGAATCCTCTAAATTCTGGGTCACTAGATAATATACTATCAGCACCTCCAATATTTTTAATTTTACTTTTTAAAAATATAACCATTGCTTTTCTAATATGCTTTGGCTGATTAAACAGTATTTTCCCAGGCTGATTTTTTTTTTGGTGAATTTGAGACAGAAAGTGAAATAATTTTGGACTAGCCAAAAGCATTACACTTTTTTTTTACAGTAAAATTTTTACTTTTGCCCACACTTGCTGCCCTGCAAGAAAAGGTTACTGAAGCAAAATCTAAGATATTGTTAGCTAAAAAGAGAAATACAAAACTACTGAAACAAATTCTCCCTTTCCTATTTTTTGGCAATTTCCTTTCCAAATTCTCCCCTAAAGCAGAGCTCTGCCAATCTGTATTAGTAAATAATCTGAGTTTTCATCTCTGTCTTGTACCATACCAGGTATATTACATATACAATTTCTACAACAAGAGGAAGTATGTTATTTTTTTGCAGTAAGTTACAATCCATGAAAGCGTGAATTTATTAGCAAAGACATAGGACCACCACCATCTGAAGTCTTAATGTGTGTCTGCAAAGTATGCTTCTTCAAAGTAATTTCCAGTGTGGCACTTCTATCAGTCTGTTAAATCTGTATGTCTGATCGCAAATCAACACAATTCGGCATCTAATTCCACATCTGCCTCTCTGAAGGTGTCTTTTGCTCCTGCAAGAATAGTTGATTATGACTCAAACAGGAATACGCTTTTCTCTAGGGGTCATGCCTTTCTGATTTTACACCCTCTACACAGACTAACCAGTTGCATACAGAACAAGTACTGTGACACCTCATTGGCCATTAATAAGTAAAGAGATGTTAACAAACAGCTGGCATTAGGGATTTTTTTTTTCAGTTAAGAAAGGAACAAAATCAAATACATAATAATAATAAAAAAATCAGTACCTGCACAGATAAAAGACTGTGAAAGAAAAAAACCCAAACCCAGCATCTCCTTGAAGCTCAAAGATGGAAGCCTTTGGCTAACCGTAAGTTTAAAAGCTCTCCCCTCAGTTTTGAGCATGGCTACATCTTTTCCTGACAGCTCTTTTGTGTAAGCAGAAGCATTTGGGAAACCCCTTTCTCTGCTTTACATCTCTGAATCACTTTTTGCCACACTTGCAAAAAGCTGATGAAAACATCCGTGTTGCTCAGGAGAAAAAAGACAACTGAAATGCTGAAAGATGACATGTTTTGCTTTGCGCTGCCATGCAGATGTAAGTGACATCTAAAACATCAAATCATTCCTCTGTTTTGTGTAAGAAGTCTTATGCCAACAATACTCAAAACAGAAAAGATGCAAAAGCAGTAAAATCAGTCACAGAACTGAGCAGGCTTGTAAGCGGATAAGCAGACATACCCACAGCTCGAGCTCTTGCTAAGGCAAGCCAGTCTTTTTTGTTGCTGGGGTGGAAGATAGTGCTTTTCAGGCCTTTTGGCTATGAGTAAGAACTCTTATTCTCAGTACTTGTGGTTGAAAACAAGCCGTGTGGTCTTCTCCTCAAACTAGGGAGTGACACTCTGCTAAACAGGTGGTTAAATATGTTCTGCTTTTTACATATTCTCATTTACATTCTCAGAACATTCTTTGCTGACACAACTGTTAAGTATTACACTGCTTTACGCAAATAGCTACAGATAAATGCTGCATGGAGGGCGAAAGGCAATCAAACCAACCCCTGTGGATAGCATGTGTGAGAGAGGGATTGGTCACTTTACCAACTGGCTCACCACGGGATACAGGGTGGCATCTTCAAGACGGTTAAAGGAAGGTCCTAAAGTATCTAGGTTATGTAGCACAATTACAAAGTATGCAGGCGCAGCAAGTTTTTAGAAAACTCAGGCTACTATCTATCTTCTGCTGTATTTTATTAGACTACTGACTGCTGAAGAAAGGATAGAAAACAAGAGGAATTACAAAGACCCAGGAGTTGGCCAAAAACAAGCTACTTGCTCTACTCATTTTTCATCTTTGAAGTTCTCTCCTTCCTCTCCCTTCTGCCACATGCTGTGCTACATTCTGATTAAAAGCTCCAACAAACGACACATTTCATAATTCTGTAAGGCATCTAGCTATTCAGGCTATACTTCCTCTGCATTTTTGATCAGGACTTTGGAAGAGATAAAGCACCAAGAGCATCTTAAGAACCTGCTGCAGAACTAATGCAGTTGAGTACAGGAACATATCAAATGGTCCGCTCCAGGTAGACATCCAGAGAAACAGCGTGTGTTATGGAGGATATTGGTTTTTTGATAGTACTAAATTAGTCTATTAGTATTAAAGTCTCAGGCATTAAAATTCAAAAGAATCAATGCTTTTGGAAGAAGAGGATGCTGCCAGGGGGTTTGGATTTACTCACTGCACATATCTCCCTCATCTTCTCCCTCGGCACAGTCGCTGATGAAATCGCATGCCTGCCCCAGCCTGATGGCTGTTCCATTCCAGCAGCTGAAGGAACCCTCCAGAACCATTTTTGAGCCAGAAGCAGGTCCTAGAGAAAAAGAAAACAATAACTGATCCGGATTACTGAATTACCTTCCTCTCAACCAACAGGTTGTAGAGTATCCTAGATAACATTGAAGGGGAGAACACCCTATGAAATCTCTCAATCCAATAACAACTTGATAAAGTCATTATTTTATTTTGTTTGACCTGTTTAATCTTGTCAAATATCTAATGGTCCATCTAACAGAGAACTTCAGTTCCCCAGGTGTTTCTGGTGCTTTAACTTGGAAGGCATCTTTGGCCCTTGAAAAGAGGGCTGAAATCCTGCAGCCTGCTCTGTGGTACTTCTGAAGAACAACACAGTACACACAATAGATTTTTAATTGTATGTCAATTTACTGCTAGACTAACAGCCCTGAAGACTGATATCCTCTCTGTCTAGCTCAGGAATAACCTGTCTACATGGTTTGGAAAGAACACATGCTTTTATCATAGCCTCCTGTCAACATCTATTACCTATGACCTGGATATACCATCCTGTCATATTTGCTCTGCCAGATAGAAAACAGTCTGATCTCTGCTTGTAGTTTCATCTACACCCGTTCCTGCTCCAGCATCTTACGTTTCCTTCCCCTTGAGTCAGAGAACCCACAGCAGACTACGTCTACCAAGATTCAAAAATCACCAATTCATTTTATCTATGTTAAGCAGTAAAAAGCAGCTAGCAATGTGGAAAGGAAAAAATTGTTATGAAATGAGGTCACTGAACACTACAATCAGAGGCCAGTATCATCCATTCAGAATTGATCTTGAGTACTTGTCCCTTAGCATTGTCCTTTTCTGAAGGCACTGGATTCCCTTGACAGATAAGAAGTCAGAGATCATCCAGCCTGATTGGTATCATTTTCCTTCCTGTAGGAACTCTCTCATCCCAAAGTCTTCAATTGTAGCCAAGTGAGATACCCCCCCAAAAAAGAAAAAAAGAACGTGTCCCAAGAGATACATGCTCCAGCTATCTGGATGAGGCAGCAACATCCTACAGTCAGTTTGGATGGAGGAAGCCAAGCTTGAGAAGTACAAGAGCCCTTTCCACAAAAATTTGGGTATAGATGCAGTTCACCAAAACCTTCCTGACTCTCTGCAGAGATGTGACTCAGTTCACCAATCCTAGAAGGCAAGCCTACAAGTATGAAAAGGTCTGTGCTGTGAATTCCCCACTGCAACAACTCCTGCCCTGTCTCACATTAAATGGGTAAATGCTAAAGATTAAACCAAAGCCTCTGGGCAGAGTGAGCCATTGTTCGCCTAACTCATCCATGCTTGCTAAACAGCACAGCTACATCATGTTCTCTGGTACTACAGGGAGTTGGGAATCACTGGTGATTCAATTAGATGCGCACTTGATATTTTTATTTATATTGCCTGCCAAAACTAAAAATTAATGAAGCATGTAGGAAAACAACCACTATTTCTCTTCAAGCTTATTTTATGGCGCAAATCAATTCAGGAGTGGGGGGAATACATGCCAAACCTTTTTAATAAAGTACCCCAGCTCCTGAAAAGGGTGCTCTGTGTTATTGTCAGCTCGATTTTTTTTTGACTGCCTTAGAGCAATTCTGGCTTGCCGCATACAGGCTGCACAGTGCCCTTGTATTTCAGTCAGGGTCAAGGCTGACTACAGAGAAGAGCTTTGCAGAAAAAACAGACCAAGTAACTCGGAGCTGGTTGCTGACAATTTCTGCAGGCCCCTTGGTAAGGGTTTAAGGCAATGAGAAGATATCCTCCTTGACCTTGCCGTGCTCCTTGCAAAAATGCACACTGCTCAGAGCCTTCTGTATGTCAGAAGCAAAGCTCTTTGCATGTCACAAGCCAGTCACAGCAGGCTCAGGTCAGTGTGCAAACAGATGCTGGAAAACTGTAAGAAGCGACTCTGGTAACTCAGTAGGTGATCCCTTCTCTTAGGGGTATGCAGTGAACATATATGGCACTGTGTTGCTTGAGACAAGGCCCAAAGTGCTTCCATAAGGTTAGTAACATCATGACACTCTTAAAAATGTTGAAGTCCTACTTTAATTCAGAAGTACTTTTGTCTGTCTGAATTACCCTACAGATGGTTTTGAAGAAACACCCACATTTACTACTAGCTCTCATGTCCCACTCAGTTTATCTGCAATCTTTTCAGCAATGTCCATGTTTTATCCCAGCAATATGCAGAGATTCAGAGGAGGGGTTATCACAGGCTAAACAGAGTTGTTCTGTTTACTCAGTTCATTATAACTTTGTAAAGGCACTCAGTTTTCCAAGCACATGACTGCATTAACACTAATTATAAGGGAACCAAGGCATTCAAGAGCACCCACTGCCTTCCCAGGTGTCTTTGTTGCAGCCCAGGAGCACAAATCTCCTGAAGCCAAATGACCGTAGTATTTAAAAGATGTCAGTTGCAACTAGACATCAAGCAACTCCAGGAGCTTTTCCTCCAAAACAAAGCAGCAGATTTGCATGCTCATTCATCTCCACGGAGATGGGGCTTGAATCAGCTCGGATTTGCATTAGATGCATACATACATGCTCCTTGTATAGGTTAGAGAACACAAATAGCAAAGCTAGAGCCTGGGGAATGGCTGGGCTCTGTGACAGTTCATGATTTAATCCTGTCTCCTGTTTGTTTGCTTATTGTGTGCACAAAGGCAAAATGAATTGGATAAAGGAGATGATTAACTAGTAAAACAAATAGATAACCAAAAAAATCCCAAATACAAACGACTCATTTAATGAGCCACTTGATGCAGATGTTTGCATCCAAGCTCAAGGAAACTTAATTTTTAATTAAAATATTTTGTAACAAAAATAGACATTGGATCTTTTAATTCCCCAGCCCAAATCACTCCTGGGAAGGTGAGCCAGAATGACCTGGATCATTGAGTCAAGTGGCTGCAACTCACGCACAGATGATGTGTAAGGAAAGGAAAATGAATGGTATCAAATAAGTATCAAAGTAAAATTTGTGGGAGACATCCTTTATATTTACAGCAGTGTTTATGTAGCCAGTGGCATCCATAAATTACAGCAGTCATTAAGCTGCACCATGGCTGGCTTGGAGTCTTATAAATCATTATTTAAACAGCAACATTAAACAAATGGCATTTCAGGCTCTAAATTGAAAGGAGAAACAAACAACTCCTTGGGGAACAAGTGCTGACTTTGTACCTCACAGGTCCCGATTCTGAACGCAGTCCAGCCTTGGCAGTGTTCAACTCCAGTACTAGGCCCCAGACACAAATGACAGCCTGGGCTCTTGACTGCCCATGCTTTTGGACTTAATTTGCATACAGCAGGATGGAAAGGGGAATGTGGCTTAGCCTAATGCAGGATAAACAACTTACTGCTCAGACTGTGGGGCCAAAAGGGATGTATTTCATTCCTCAGCAGATTTTCACCAACTTGGGTTGCCTCTTCTCTCCTGCCTCCTCCCTTGACTAGCAGAGAAACTGAAGTGCACTAGCAAGCTCTGAGGAATCTGTCTCTGAGGAATGTGGCCAGAAAGATTGTGATGTTTGATCACTGCAAATTGGGAACCTTCAACTTACTGCCACCACACTTGGCCAGGTGGGTCAGAAGACTGAAATTCTTACAGGCATTCACAAAAGTATCCCTTATCTTGCAAACTGGCTACGCTGCTAATTATCATGCAGGACTAATAAAGCTGAACATAATTATACCTTCATGAGTAACATTCAAATTCTCAGGCTGTAATTTTTAATGCTACTGAAAGCTTTTGGGACCAACAGAGTCAGGTAAAGCCCTCCCACTCAGCACACATTAAAACAAGAGAGCTTAACAGGACAGTACTTGGCTGTTGTTTAAAAACCCTGTCATTTGTACTTTGCAAGAGAAGGTGAACAGAAATTGCAAAGACCCGGAACGAATGTGCATCCTCGTGCATGTTTTACCAACAAGCAGCTGCTCTCTGGGCTATCCCTGAGGACCCCAGCTGGACACAGCTGAATTGACTCCAATGGTTTTTGGGGCAAGACCCTGTATGCACACAAGGTGAACAATTTTGATTTTTAATTGCATGTATGTAGTAAGAATTACCTGCCCATGGGAATTCACCACGCTTATCTCATCATATGAGCTACTTCTCAAAAAAGAGAAACTTTCCTACTATTTACACATCTCAAAAAATATTTTCTAGTGGGGTATTGCTGCAGTCTAATATTCCTCCACTAAATGCCACTAAAAATCAGGGATTGCTCAGCCTTACTGACAATGCTTATCTGTCACAGGTACTTGTCATTAACTTCCCAATTTCATCTGCTCCTCCTTTGGTTTGACTTCAAGGCTTTGACTCAAGAGATATTTAAAAAGACAGTACTTAGGGGATTGAAGGTTTGTGTGAAACAAAGAAAAGCTGCTCTCTAGCTATAAAAGCATAGTAAGAATTCTGGAGAGTTCCTCATCTTGCTATTTCTGATGGGCACATCACTTCCTTACTCTTCATCTCCAACCCTCCAGCCTTATAGCAGCACAGACAGTTGAAGACTGATGGCTCACTTGGTGATGAGGATAGCCATACTCCAGGACAAAGTAAATTTTCTGTTGATATGAGTCATTAATATCACTGCTTTCACCATTAGAGAAGTTGGAAGGTATGAAATAAAGAAGGTAGGAAAGTGAAAGAACAGAATGACGAGTTCATGTTTAAGGGAACTGAAGCCATCCTTGACAAATGGCCATTGAACTCCAACATGACATAGGGCAGATCATGTAAGTCAAAACTTCCACAGCAAGCTACACTGCCCTCATTTTCCAGGCAGCCACCCCAGGACACCTGTATTCAGATCTGCAGAGAAGCCAAGTGGTTACAGCTGCAAAGAAGTCCAGTGCGAAAGTTATTTGGAAAATACAATGTCCTTAAAAAAACACTTTGAAATAAGACTGGACTCCAGGTTTCTTATACCAGGCAGTCAAAATTAGTCAACACTTCATAATTTCTGGCTTTAATCTTTGTAACAGCATCATTACTGTTGCTGTCATTGCCTA